TATATTCAGATTATAGAGGCTGAAGACAGATCGTAAGCAGCTAAGCGAGTATTCATTTCAACTACAGACTCTTTCTTAGATTTCGGCAGATAAAGGAAAGATAAAGAACGTTAGCTTGAATCAGTGCTGGGAGTCTAGGAAGGAGTGGAAGTAGCAGGGATTGGCAAAGGGAAAACCAGAATGATTGTAGGGAGAATGCGTGAAGAAACAGGCCCAAAACAAACAAACAAAAAAACTTGCTGGAACTAGGCACCAGAGAATGAACATATGGTAGAATGTGATCCAAGACAGTGTTGGGTGCCATGCTTTGTGAAAACAAGGCTATTACGTTTCAATATGTGCTTTTGTGGCCTGCAGTTTTAGAAAGTCACGTTGTAGTTAGACATCACACTAAAAAAGGCATCAGAAAGGATTTTCTTTTAAATGTTGACACTTTACTGAATATAAAATCCTCCAGATAAAGGATGTATTACCACTTTCATAGCAAGATCTTTTAGTGATTTTAAATTACTTATAGAAATAAAATATTGTGAAATGATTTAACCTTTATGTCTCTTTTCTAAAAATGTGTTAGGTAACATGCAGAAAGTACCTGAAGTCTTGAGTTTGCATAAAGCTTTAGATTTCTTTCTAAATGAGTAAATAGGAAATGGACTCGGGCAGTACCTGTAATGAATACCTGTCATTGGCTGCCCAGCATCCATTTCTCTTTCTTCTTGGAGCAGTAGCCTGAATTTCTTTTCCAAACCTATCCCCTCTCTTCATTCTCACCTTTGTGATTTCGAGGGAATGGATCTCACCTGCCCCAGAGGAGGGCCCTGATTAGCAGAATCAGTATGAATGCGTCATCTTTGTTCATAATGAATGGTTTGCAATTGGCACAGTTACCTAAGCTGGTCCAGTTAGAGTGACTTTTATAGACATTATTTGCTGTTTCATGAGTGAGGATTTATGAAACTCTCAGAGCTCCTCAAAGCTAATTTAGGATGATGAACTTGGGGGAATGAGTTTGTCCAAAATGGAATCAACATCAAGAAAATGACGATAAGAAACTGAAAGAAATATTTCATTGTATATATGTACCATAACTTCTTTATTCAGTTGCATATTGTTGGGCACTTAGGTTGCTTCTGTATCTTGGCTATTGTGAATAGCCCCACAATGAACAGAGGGGTGCATAGATCTTTACAAATTAGTGTTTCAGTTTTCTTTGGGTAAATACCCAGAAGTGCAATTGCTAGGTCAAATGGTATTTCTATTTTTAATATTTTGAGGAACTTCCAAAGTGTTTTCCATCAGCCATTAAAAAAAAATGAAATCTTAGCATTTGCAAAAACATGGATGGACCGAGACAGTAATGCTGAGTCAGAGAAATAAGTGAGAGAAAGATAAATACCATACGATTTCACTTATATGCAGAATCTAAGGAACAAACTAAACAAAAACAGACAAATACGGAGGGCAAACTGGTGATTGCCGGAGGGGAGGGGTATTGGGGGGATGGATGAAAAAGGAGGGGATGAAGAAGTACGAGTTAGTTACAAATAGTCACGGGGCTGTAGAGTACAGCATAGGGAATGTAGTCAATGGTAATGTAATGGCTGTATGTAGAACCAGAGGAGTGCCAGAGTAATTGGGAGGATCACTTCATAAACTATGTAAATGTCTAACCATTGTACTGTATACCTGAAACTAATATAAAAATAAAAATAAAAAATTGAAAAATTAGGTTCTATCTCAAACTAGAAAAAAAAAAAAAACCCTTTTGTTTCAGATAAGCTTAAAATTTAACCATCTAGAAATAGGACTTCCAAAGAAAAACTAGAAGAAAAGGAAAGAAATCAAGTCCTTAGTCATATTATATGAGATTCTGGATCAATCCTCCCCTCCTCCCCCACCAGCAACATGTACCTCTATAGATTTCAGTTGAGTGAACCAATAAGTTTATTAGCCAGTCTCAGTTGGGTTTTTCTATTACATGTTGCAACTGAAAGCTTCCTAGACACAGAATCTGCAGTACAGACCCTAAAGTCTGTCACTCTCTCATCAACTGTCATAATAATGGTTAAACTTTTGTTTCTATGGAAATTGATGTCACCTTTATGAAAAGTGAGCACTTTGGGACCCTTACATATGTTGCATAGGTTTTTAAAAATGTTTTGAGTTTTATAGAAAAACGTAATTTAATATTTATAAAAATTAAAGGTTGTTCAGCTAACCATGAAAAGCATAAAAGATTGACTGATAAGAAAAATAACTAAAATCTATTCACTGTGCAAAAGATAGATGGTTTGGAAGTTCTCCCTAGTATATTTTCTGAGATCAAATATTATAGGATTGTGTGTTTACATTAAATATCAATATATGTTAATTATGACATTAGATTTGTTCTACTCAAGGCTAGAAAATGATTAAAACCAGTTCACACTGAACATGTCAAAAGAAAAAGCAACAAATTGCTTTTGTTAAATGATTTATATTAACCTCTTTCCCACCCAGGTTTAAACTAATTTAGAAATAGATAAGAGGTAAGTGGGGCATGAATATGATCTGTATTAGTGATCAGGCTGGAAGTAGAGAATGAGGCTTATATCTGTAAAAGTGGGCTTCCTTATACCAAGCCCCAGAATCATACAGACATCCTATCCAGCCACAGACAATTCTGGACCAAGACTGTTTTATAGCCTGCCCTTGTAAAACTTATGGCAAGGAGGAAGCAGGCAGAATGCATGCTGTCTGTGAGCAGCTTATTCCCAAAGAGAAGAGAGAAAGTACTGCTTAGGCTCACTTTTTGTCCCAAGCTCATCAATCAAATAATCCACCTCTAGCAATGTAGATCCCACCAGGAGACAGAACACATGGTAACCATAACCAGGAGAAGCTTAAAGAATTGTTAAGCCAGGACAATAACATAACTACGTTAAGAGAAGTCTAAATGGCATCCTAGGGCTGAGGGAGAGCATCCAAGGAAGGATAAGCTTGGAAGAGGGCCGGGCCCCCTCTGGCGTTCAGACTTCTTTGGAGAAGGTGTGGCTGCAGAACACTAGGTGGTAAGAAAGTTTGCTGGTTTGCCTGGGCCAGAGCAAACAGGAAACTGATGAACAGGAAATGACCCTCTGAGACACAGGCTGGTGAGCAGGTTGTGGAGGGAGTTAAGTCATTTCTGTAGGTGCAAAGCCAGGAGCAGACCTTGGAAAGGCCTCAGGAACAACCCTGTAGAGGACAGGCAGGCTGGGACAGGTGGGTGGGCATGCTGAGGAGTTAGGGGCATTGCTACAAGCATGAGGCCAGGAGCATGTCTGTCCCTCTCAAGACCTCAGGAAAGTGGTCACCAGGCCTCCTGGGCTGGGGCTGTGACAGTTGAGGGACTGCATTCTGGGTATGTAACTGGAGGAAAGGATCATCAGATGTACACACACACACACACACACACACAGAGTGACAGATCATGCAGCAGGAGCAAGGAAAATTAAATTTCAGTACACTGAAACCAGAAAGAGAAGCTGCTTTCGTCCTACTGTGTCCTTCCGGTATCCTCTACTTCAGCAGTCCCCAACCTTTTTGGCACCAGGAACCAGTTTTGTGGAAGACGATCTTTCCACAGACTGAGCTGGGAGATGCTTTTGGGATGATTCAAGCGCATTACATTTATTGTGCACGCACTTTCTATTATTACATTGTAATAGATAATGAAATAATTATATAACTTACCATAATGCAGAATCAGTGGGAGCCCTGAGCTTGTTTTCCTATGGTAATATATAATGAAATAATTATATAATTCACTATAATGCAGAATCATTGGGAGCCCTGACTTTCTTTTCCTGCAACTGTATGGGCCCATCTGGAGGTTATTAGAGACAGTGACATCTGAAGTCTACTCTATAATCTCATTTAGGTTGCTGTCACTGCAGAAAACCCTGCTTCACAAAGATAGGATGTTGGAAATGGAAGCAGGCTTTTCAGTGCTTCTATGGCAATCTCAGGACATTCTGCCTTGACTTTAATCCAGAATGTATGGAGATTTGAAATTGTCTCAAATATACTTTTAAAACCACCAGCATTTATGATCTCTAGCAGTTGATCCTCTTCTAGCATGGGCAAAGTCGACTTACCTGGCTTATTCATAAATGGATCGCGTATCCATTCCTTCCCAGTTTGGGGTCTTTTGTGGTTGGGAAGTTATTCTCAAACTCCTTTGAAAGCCAAGATAGATGCACCATCTGGGAAAAAGAAGGCCCTGGCTCAGTCTCTTTCAAAATCTCTGCTAATGTCTGAAATGTCAAAAATCCCAACGTTCACTCGTTGACCCCATAATTCCAGTTTGGCTTTGAATGCAGCCACTCGATCTGCCAACTTGAACACAGTTGTCATTCTCCCGTGAAGTGACAGATTGAGTTGGTTAAGCTGGCTGAATATGTCACACAAGTAAGCAAGTTTTGCAACCCATTCTGTGTCACTGAAATATGCCAGTGGTGGCCATTTTTCTAAAAGAAATTTCTGGAGTGGCTCTCATAACTCAAAAACTCTGGCCAGTGATCTACCTTTAAAAGCCATCTCACTTCTGTGTGTAAGATGTGTGTGCTCTGTGTCCATCTCCTCACAGAGATGTGCGACCAGACATGAATTAAGGGCATGTACTTTAATGTGGTTGATCATTTTGACACATCCTGCAAAATGTTAGGCTCAGGTGACTTTCTTTCAGCTAGCCAGCATTTCTCTATGGCTGACACAGTGTGTAGACTCACATTCAAAAGCGACTTCTTTGACCTGAGTAGTGAAACCAGGAAGCCGTCCATTGGTGGCTCCGTCCATGCATATACTGACACAAATGACCAATTCAGTTTTCCTGATATATAGTCATTCAAAGACTTGAATAGTTCTGCAGCTGTGGTGTTGGTTCACAGCAAAAGTGCACATAACATATCCTCATGCACATCCTCCTGAAAAATAAATCACACAAAAACAAGCATTGTTGCCTTGTCAACATCAGTAGACTCATCAACCTGGATTGTGTACCATGGTGACTCATTAATCCTTTATAACAATTGTTATAAAGGATTAGCCTCAATATCATCTGCTGTTTCATCAATTCATCTAGTTATAATGCTAGCTGAAAGAGGGGAACAGGCCACCTTCTAAACTACAGTCTCTCCTAAAAGTTCATGACAAATGTCCTCAGCAGCAGGCAGGATCAACTCTTCACGAATAAGGGGCTTCTTAGCCTTAGCTAGGCAGTTAGCCACCAAGAATGATGCTCTCAGTGCAGATACATTTGCTGAAGCAGTGGCTTTCAATAATTGCTTCTGTGTTTGTCTTTTAATGCAGGGTGCTTGGTCTCCATGTAGCGAAGCAGTTTTGAAGGTTTCATGGCTTCGGTGGATAGTTGGTTGCCACAAATTATACAAAGCAGGCCAGGCCTATGTGAATCACCTGTTGTAATGAACCTGTAATTTAAGTAGAACTCTTGATATTTTCTTTTAAATGCAGCTTTCTTTTTGTTAGCAGTCTTAGAGTCTTTTGCTGTCTCATCACTGGGTCTTTCCCCGTTTTCAAAGAAGCTCTCTAGTGACGTTTGTTTTTTACCCATTTTGGCTAAGGTTAGCTTGTGGGCTTACCAAAACTGTGACTGAGACAAGTACACAGTACAGGAAAGAGTTGCGGATGGAAGTGATTAATAAAATAAGGGCAAGCCACGTGTGGACTAAAATAATTGTTGTATTCTGACTTAAAGCCTGCCACCAGATGCAGCTTAATTGTCACTGGCCTTTCACTGATAGGGTTTTGATATGAGTCTTCAAGCAATTGATTTATCATGGTCTCTGCACA